TCAAAATAAAATCTGTATACAAATAATAATCTTAATTAAGATCTTTTAATTTCAATTTCTAACATGATGAGAACAAATAGAAACTAACTGATAGTTTTAAATTACCTTAATTAATAATTCTGTTAAATTTAGTTTCTAATTAATTAAATATTAGTTATAATGGTTGAGATAAAATCTGCATACAAATAACAACCTTAATTATAATCTGTTAATTTCAGTTTCTAACATAATGAGAACAAATAAAACTAACTGATAGTTTATAAATTTTTTTTGATACAAAAAAAGTAGGTTAGCATAAAATTAAATATTTAAAAAATATTGCAATAATGTTACATATTATATTAATTATTAATAAATCTATAAAATTAAAATTATTTAAATCTATTATAATATACAATTGCTTTGTTATAATATTTTTTATACTAAATAATGAAGAATTTAGAATATAATGCATCTGATTTAGCTATAGAAGTAGCTGAAACTAAAGAATCAAACCTTGTTATTCAGGTTAATAAAAAGAATAAAAGAGGCCAACCAAAGAATCTACTTTGAGATTGCCATTTTACAGAAATTAATATTCAAGAAAGTGGACATGAAGGTTGGCAATGTAATTATTGCCAAGTTGAAAATATACATGCATCAGAAATAAATATGAATACACATCTGATATTAATTTGTACAAGTATTCCACTTAATATTAAGCAAGATGTTCTTCCTATACCAAATAAAAAAAAACAAACTGAACATGATATTGCTAGTGGTTTACAATCACAAATTAATAGCAAATTTCAACATGTTAATAAAATAGATCCTGATCAAGAACAACTATGTTACAAGGCACTAATACAATTGTTTGTATGCTGTGGAATTCCTTTTTGAATTATTAAAACTCTTTTTTTTTAAATTTTGTAAAAATCTCTATGTTTTATATAAACCATCTAATTGAAAAACTCTTAGAAATGTTGGCTTAATTATAAAACAGTATGTGTTATAATTTCTATAAAAAAAAAACTTGAAAATAAAAAAATCTTACATTAGGTATCATTTATTTATTTAATTTATTTTATTTACAGTATTTATTTAATTTATTTATTTATTTACTTATTTAATTTTATATATTATAAGCTTTAGATGGTTGAACAAGCAATCGTGAATATTCTTATTTTGCTTTTATAATTATAACACCTTACAAAATTTGCAAATCTTCATTTGGAAAAAAAGTATTGAAGAAGTGTCAATCTTTTATAAAATATTTTTATGCATTTCACCAGTCTGAGGCACTTTTGTATAATGAAATAATTGTATAATAAATAAAGGAGAACTAAAAAGTTCTGTTTGTTCACTATAGTTATTTGTATATGATTGTGTACAATCAGTGCTTAATTTAGAAATATGCATTAAACAAGTATATAATTATTAACTAAT